GATGCAAATTCTTCTTTCTCATGATTGTGGGTAGTAGGTATGTTTTCCACACGGACAATGACGATGATGTTTTATCTCATAAAATTGACCAACGCATTTGTGTTTCAAATTTTTAAAAGGGGAACTACGTGTACTCTGATCCCCTATTGCACGAAAGGTGGTACGTAGGCACTAAAGATTCGCAACCGCGGTGGGTGAAAAAATCATAAAAAATATATTTCTTTTCTCACCTCCACCATCCATTTTATATACAACAGTTTTTATAGCCAAAATATATAGATTTTACAAAGAGGCTCCTGCGGAGTATCGTAGATGTTTAGGGTGCTAATACCTTCCCTTTGCATAACCAACCCCCTTACCTTTAATCTTTCCCCCTCTTTTTGGGTTATTCGCTCTTTTCCCATTCCTTTGGGAAAATAAAGCGTGGTGGCGATTTTTATTTTGATTTGTATAAAGTCTAGTCAATCCAATGGCTTAGTCTTGAACATTTCTACCGCTACACATTGCAGCAGGAAGCAGCTGCTCTCAACTGGTGTGGATGAAGCAAATATTGTTTAAGTATAATGTCACACAAGATGTCATGACATTATTTTGTGACAATTTGAGTGCTATTAATATTTCCAAAAATATTATTCAGCATAGTAGGACCAATCATATTGACACCACTTTATTAGGGAACTTGTGGAGGACGAGGTCATAACTCTTGAGCATGTTAGCACTGAGAATCATCTTATTGATATCTTTACAAAAGCTCTTGATGTAATTCAGTTTGAGAACCTAAGGAGGAGACTTGGGATCTGTGTCTATGAAGAATTATAGCAATTACTGTTGGTGTTGCACCTGTTGATAAAGATGCTGAGGATGGTGCTGCACTTGATGAACATTATGTCGGTACTATTAAAGAAGAAGAAGATGTTGATGTATGGCATGTAGTCATGTGATTTTGTTTGGATCTGCATTAGGATCCTGTTTACTTTGGTTTATGATTTGTACGGGTTAAATGCCCAAGATATTTTTAGTTCTTTTTGCACCTTACCTCTTAAAACTTTAGATGCTTAAATTTTTGCTAATATTGTATACTTACCTTTATCATATTATAGCTAAAAAGGGGGGAGTAGTATGATATTGAGGATGCTGGAGCTGGTACTACTGCTGGGGGGGGGAGAATTTATGATTCTCTGTTGAGACAACATGTGTTAAGGGGGAGTCCCTGTTGTTATGGATTAGGGTGCTCTGAAGAGATATCAGACATGATGTCTTGACATCATGGCGTTGAGAAATTAGGTTCTCTATTTGTTGTTGCATTTGTGTTAGTAGATCAACTAACTACTAAATGTGTCTCTGATTTTGTGCTGCTAACCTTGCTAATGCATTTTCCGTTGTTGTACCTCTAATGTGTGTGTGTTTGATTTACTTTCAAACATATTTTATGGTGTTTTTTTGTGTGCAATGGTTATTTGGTTGTTTTAGCCAAAATGTGCCAAAGAGGGAGATTGTTATTTCTCTGAAATTATGATTGACATACATTTTGGTAAAACCAACTTGGAAGCAACATGTTGAACAAGATGTTCTAACTTGTAGTTTTCAACATGTCAAATAAGATGTCCCAACCAGGAGGATATGACATCGCGTCTGCAACATCAGACAATTATGTTTCAGCTGATATGTTAGTTACTCAATATTCAGGGAACATTTAGTTAGCTTATGTGGCATCCAAGATTGATAAATCAGATATTCTATGTTGGTTTTTGAAGATATACAAAGTTTATAAATATAGAGACATTTTAGGAAACTAATGATTGAAGACTTATTTTCTTGGAGAAGATTTTGTAGACTTTGTGCAGCCTCACTACTATGTTTTGAAGCCCAACCCAGTCCAGAATAGTGTTATAAATAGACTCGTGTATACCTAGATTTAGGTGAAACTTACGTTTGTATTTCGTTAGAGTTTTAGAATCCTTATTATTGGGTTGTAAGTTCTGTCAGATGTTCATAAGATTTTAAGCATTGAACATTTGTGTGTCAGATGCTCATAAGCTATTAAGAGTTGAGTATTTGTGTGTCAGTTCTCATAAGCTTTTAAGCATTGAGGATTGTGTGACTTAGAAGAGTGACTTCCTATTTTTGTTCTCTATTGTGTTTAGAGTTGCTCCAATCGCTGAGTGTGATTGAAAGGGATTTAAGGAGGGCCTCATACCTAGGTGTGTCTTAGATAAAAGTTAAGCAAAGGGTAGTGATTAAGTTCGTAGATTGTAAACGGATGTGTTTGTCGTGTGGTCTATAAATTGATACTATCTAGTTAATTTCATACCTGACTTGGTAGCCCCTGGAGTAGGAGAGTTGCTACGAAATGGGTAAACATATATGTGTGTTATTTACCTTCAACATTGTTTATTTTGTTTATACATATTATTGTTGTGTGTTGAAGTCGGATCCGGTGTTTCAACATCACTTAGGACATTCAGGATCTGACAACCAGAATTTAAATCATGTTCATCATGAACACAAAGAATGTTCATCAACATCCAACCAAAAATTCTATAAAATCCCCAAATCTAACCAAAATTGAAAACCTCAAGCACTAATCGTACCTTAAACAACCTCCTGATCAACAATATAGAATCAAAAATTACAACAACGCCATAAATTGATCCGATTGAAACCCTCATAGGATGAACATGGGGAAGAACACAATGGTTTTTCTTCAATTTTATGGAAAACCCACAAAATATCCCAAATCAAGAAAACCTAAACAACACCTTATCAATCTATACGTCTTAAACATGAATCTGGCGTCCAAACATCAAACGCAAAATCAAAACAAACAGATCAAAGGAAGATGAGAAGATAAGATCAACGTCAAACACATGTTTTGGAGGGTTAGGTTGCTACTCTCTCTCTCTCTCTCTCTCTCTCTCTCTCTCTCTCTCTCTCTCTCTCTCCCCCCCTCTCTCTCTCTCACCATTGATTGTGTTATCTATACATTGAGATGATTTCTTTGTCTAATATTTCAAACTGATTTGTTGAGTTGATTGCTATCTATAAAGTGCAATTGGTTTTTTATATCAACAAAATCAAAGAAAAAATTGTTTTGACTTGATTGCAGACTAAGTGTTCGACAAGTTGCTTAAGCCAATTTTTGCTTGATATTTCATTGGAAATCTATTACTATTGCATGGTTTTATTCAAACGTTGTTGCTGAAAATATATTGATTAATTTTCTCATAAAAAATACGTTTATAAGGTTTAACGCATATTCAATCTTTTCAATGACGGTTCGGGATAGACGATTGTCGATCTGAGATTGTTTTTGCATGCCATAGTTAAAACGTTTTAAAAACAATTTTTTTAAAGGATATTTTCATTAGCGATCTATTTTCAACCCCCTCTAAATCGTAGTCTACCGTCTAACATCTAATTCTCTCAATCAATCTTTCTTTTCTATCTAACCTCTCTTATTGCCGCCCTTCTAACCACTGTGCTTTCTAGAAAACCACCGCTCCTACCACCACCTTCATTATCTCTTAGGACATTCGGGATCTGACAACCAGAATTTGAATCATGTTCATCATGAACACGAAGAATGTTCATCAACATCCAACCACAAATTCTAGAAAAAAACCCCAAATCAAACCAAAATTGAAAACCTCAAGCACTAATCCTACCTTAAACAACCTCCAGATCAACAATACAAAATCAGAAATTACAACACTATAAATTGATCCGATTGAAACCCTCATAAGATGAACATGGTGAAGAACACAATGATTTTATGGAAAACCCACAAAATATCCCAAATCAAGAAAACCTAAACAACAACCCTAACTATCTATCCGTCTTAAACATGAATCCGGCGTCCTAACATCAAAGGCAAAACCAAAACAAACAAATCAAAAATCCTTAATCTCGCATAAACCATAAAACCTGAATCCATTATATCAAATTATATTACAAGCAATTGATAAAGATAATCATGGGGAAATGGATTAAAGAGGCTACTGAAGCATTAATTAATCAACAAAAAATTGTAAAAAAGTATACCCACACGAAACTCTTGCGGGGTGGTGATATAAAAATTTCTAGGTAACTCGATTTTTCTTTCTTTCTTCCTTTATTTCTGCTCTTAATGCTTCTTTTGATTCGTTCTACTCCTTTTTTTTTTGCTTTGTGTACTGCTTGTATTAATGGACTGCTGCACAAAAAAATGGAATGATTATGTGCAAGGGAGCAATGCCAAGAGGGACCCGGGCTGTACAATTTTTTGTGTAATTTCTGTTGTACTTTTGGTACAAATTGCAACCTGTAATTTGTATACTTTTGCTTCGTACAAATGTGATTCCTAGTTGTAACTTGCAATGAACATTTGAATTGAAATCAAAGTTTAACTTTATTGTTAAATTTGTTCTTGTGCTATTCAAATTCAAACTTCAAAAATGTGTATTAACTTGCATTCTAAATTCCCACTAAAGATATGAATGGTTGAAATAGACAGTGAATTATGTGATACTTTGAACTGTGAATGGAATTAGAAAAGGATTGAATAAAGAGTATGATTGAATGAATGAAGTTAGGATGTGATTAGTATATGATTGAATAAAAGAATATTATTGAATGCATGAATGAAGCATATGATTACATGAATGAATGAGATTAGAATATGATTAAGTTGTATGATGATTTGATGGAAATGTTTGAATGAAGGTGAAATTGAAATGTAAATGGTATGAAATGGTAAATCAATTAACATGAATTGAGATGTTTGGATTAGTAACTTCTAATTGAAATAAATTAATTGTGATCAAGTAACAATGATGAATAATATCAAGATGACAATTTATATTGAGAGAGATGTTCTCCCTTCTCTCTAGAAAATTTTTCTCCAATCCTCTAGGGTGGTTTGGTGGCTTCTCCCCACCTCCATGGTGGCTCTCTCCTTCCACCTCTGTGGTGGCTACCTCTCTCTCTTTTGAGAACACTTTCCTCTCTACCAATCATCCTTCTCAAGTCCTCATCATAACAAAGCTTCTCACCGAAATCTTTCCCTCTCCACCACTACCAACCGTCAAGTTTCTTTTTCTTCTTTTGCAGCCGCCATCAGAGCCTCCACTACCAAGAAATGACAAGGTAGTTGTAATTTTTCTATATATCTCAAATGCGACAATGAAAGATGAATCTCTTTCTCCAGTAGTTGCTCCTACAACTCTGTTGCCCGGAATTTTTCGTCCACTACCGGAGCCGCCATAGTTATATAGTATGAAAATTTTAACAGAGATGTTTAATTTCGGTTTCTTAATTTCTCTTTTGTATTTTTGTGTTTTAGTGGTAAATGATGCACTCTTGGTGTTTGACAAAATTCCTCAAAGGAGTTTTGTGTCTTTAGCATGGTTATGTGTGTCTTTGGTAATTTCATAGTGATTGAGGAAGTTTATGAGTTTAACATCCATTTCATAATTATCTCTAGTCATCTAATAATTTTTTAACACTAAAAAAGGTTGGACAATTTTGAGACCAAAGGAAGTCGAAATGTGCAAACACAAGTCAAAGAAATCATTCTTAATTGGATTTGGATAAAGACTATAGATTCACACTCTCACATTGTCATTGTTAATGTTTGCAAGAGAGTGGATTGTTGGATGATATATTTTTGCTTTTGATTTAGTTGTACCTTAGATTTTGAAATTTCTATGTATAGTATCTCTTTTGTTTTTGTAGTATTTTCTCATAGATGTGCTTCTAGATTTTGTATGGAATATGTTCTATTCCAATTGTCTTGTAACATTTGTAATTCTTGCTTGTTTGCATATTAATGAATATGAATTTTCTATAATAAAAAAAACAATGATGAATAATATCACTTGAATGAATGAATTTGGAATAATTGGAATGACTAAATGGAAAATAAGGTATTAATTTTGCAATACACCTAAATGTTGAAAAAGTAATTAAAATGAATCATGTGACTACATGAATGCATGGGTTAATAGAAGTAAGAGTGATGACTTGTAATTAGGACAAAATGAACCTCATATGATCCCAAAAAAAAGTCCTTTATTTGACTCTAAATGTAATGTCCTAAATGCAATGCAGATAACACAATGGATGGATGAATTGAATCATGCAAAAATGAAGGGAAAAAAGGCTTGAGGCAAAATTATAGTATGACAGTTGTCCCTATTTAAATATATTTGACCAGAGAATATAAAGAATGACAATCTTCATATAATCGCGGTGGAATATAGTTAAATACTAAAGACCCAAATTTTGTCTCTTGATAAAATGAGAGGACATGCTATGTTATGAGTTTATGGAAGATTTCTTAGTCGGGGATATGAAAATTATGAAGCAGACTCTTTGGGGATTATTGAGATAAGTTGTAATGGAGGTTTGCTGGGAATATATGAGATAGGGGCAAAAAAAACTTGATGGGAAAAAACAAAGGTATGTTTTGGAAATCCATCTGAACAAAAAGACATATACGTAAATACACCGGATAAAAGAGAAAAAATTCTCTTAAAGTACATTAGAACAACACTGACACATCTGGAAATACATCAGATAAAAAGAAAGCAAGCTCTGGAAACACATCAAAACATACATATTTGGAAATGAATCGGATAGAAAACAAATGAATTCCTAGAAAATATATCAGAATAAAAGAAAACATCCGAAAATGCATTAGATATAAAGGAAATAAGTTCTGGAAATACATTAAAACAAACAAACACATTCGACAATGCATCGAATGATAAAACAAATGAAGTCCTGGAAATACATCAGAACGAAAGGCATATCCGGAAATGCATAAGATAGAAAACAAAGATGGTTTTGGAAATGGACCAAAACTGTTAGATCCATGGTTTTACGATTGACTAAATTTTGCTAAAATCTGGTTCTTGACTAATGTTGAGCAAGATGTCATAACATTTTGACCAGCTAGTGTAACATAGTCTGTTGTTGGTATGTTTGACAGATATTGTGACAGATGTTGTGACATGTTATACCCAAATATCAGCACAAGTTGTTATTATTCTTGACATGTTTGATTTGATTCTGTGAGATTCCTTTTGGATATATCATAATTATTTGCGCATGTCAAGAAGATTTAATCTGGAATAACTGATTTGATCTCCAAATGTACATAAGTTTCTAAAATTGGATTTTATACTATAACACCATATTTCCCCAACAGTAACTTTATATAAAAATAAAAGTAAAATAAAACTCCAAAATAGGATGACATATCATTCAACATGTTCAAATTTTTCTCAATTAAGATAAAACAGATACATAACACACATTTTGGATGAACCGACAATATTCTAGCATAGTCTCCAAACTTTGATTTTAATAATGCAGCGGAAAGAATTTCATAATTTTTTCTAAAATCTTAAACCATCACAAAATCAACAATTTAATCAATTAAAAGAGAGTCTACAACGCTCCAAAATTTCTCAAAAAAGACATCAACTAAAATAAAACAATCGAGTATTCATTCCCTCGGTGTTACATATCAGAGCAAGGACACCCACTCAAAATAAAAGGAGCAACCTCTTCTAGACTCCACGACTTCGCACTAGTCTTGGTTATCTGCATGTTATCCACGTAGAAGCAACATTCAAACAGTAAGGGTGAGATATCATGACAATATAATAAGTAATATAATTATAAGTAAACAACAGGTATATCATGCAAGATTTCAAGTTCGGCATTTATTAGTCACACCACTTCAACAAGTCCACAATTCAACAATTCAACAAATACAATGCAACTGAGTTTAATGCAAGATACATGTGGTACCATCAGGGCATAAGCCCTCAACAAATTTCCATATAGGCCAGGTCATAATCCCCCAACAGTTACCAATACAGGTCATGGCATGATCCCTCAATATTTTCCATAAAGGCCAGGGCATAAGCCCTCAATGATTGCCAATACAGGCCAGAGCATAAGCTCTCAACGATGCATGAAATGCAGCATGCTACAACAAATTATGAAACCACAATCATAATCATCAACATCACGCCAATTTCAGGCCAACATCATCTTTGTAATACTTCAATATCACCTATAATGCCTTCACACATCATCGATATAACACAGATACAATTAATCACGACATTTTGCATTACAACACATACAATATACACACACATTAGAATTATCCAATAAAACATTATTATACTGTCATCAAAGTTATTACCAAATTGTAGAAAATATTTTTAGCTTTCCAACGGTCCAAATGGCACATCAAACGAACACCCGAGTCAAAATTTATGGAGTTTTTAAGTTTTCAAAAATTCCAACACAGCGGTAATCGATTACCTAGTTATGGTAACCGGTTACTACAAGACAGTAACCCTGCTTTTTCCCAAAAAAATTTGCGGTAACCGATTAACCAGTTATGGTAACCGGTTACTGCAAGACAGTAGCCTAATGTTCAAAAACACAAACAGCAGTAACCAGTTACCCATATATGGTAACCGATTATCCATCGAGAAACAGACCCAAAAACCTGAATTTTTTGCTACGAAATCCCATCCTCTTCATCCAAAAATCAGTTTTTATGAAAGATCAAACACATCAATTATTTTAAATCATCAACACATATCATATACCATAATTATAACACAATCAACACATCAATCTTATCATTTACAAGCAATTACAACAATCAATTTTACAACAATTTACCCTAAAAACCTAACATTCAATATCATCATCTACCCATAATTAAACCACCTATTAGAGAGTCAGAACCCCACCCTTACCTTAGTTTTGATGATTATAAGTCCTCTACCGGAAATTCCTCTCCCTAGCTAGTATGCTCTTCTCTTCTCTTTGTCCTTCTCTTCTCACTTCTACGTTCTATTCCTCGTGTTTTTACTTCTGCTGTTCTAACTACACACTTTAGACCCCTAAACCTATATACCAACTTTGCCCCTCCTCTTATTACCAGGTTTATTTTAATTATTAATTATTAATATTATAAATTACTATTTATCTCTTATAATAATAATAGTAATAATAATAATAATACTAATGTTGCTACTATTCTTCATTCATCCCTAACTTCTTCAATTATCATTACTTCTAACTTTCCAACATAATCATCAAAATGCATCATAAGATCATCAACATATATAAGCATATCTTATCATCTATTTTATTCCAATAAAATAATTCTAATTAAATCGGGGTGTTACAACTTTCCCCCACTTAGAATATTTCCGTCCTCGAAAATTACCTGAGGCAAATAATTCTGGATAAGCCTCCTGCATTTTGCTCTCTCATTCCCACATCGCATTCTCTATGGAAGCTCCTACCCATACCACTTTCACAAGAGAGAGATCTTTGCCTCTCAGCTTATTTACCTCTCGATTCTCGATCCTCACAGGTACGGTTTCAACAGTAAGATCATCCCGCACTTGTACATCATCCATTGGAATCACATGCAACGGATCAGAAATATAATTTCGGAGTTGCGACGCATGGAATACATCATACAAACTCGGAATATTAGGTGGCAAGTCCACTCTATACGCAATAGTCCCCACCTTTTCTGAAATTTGATACGAACCAATAAACCGATGAGTCAACTTTCTTGACTTTAAGACACGTCCTACACCGGTCACTGGCGACACTCTCAAGAATACATGATCTCCTTCTTCAAACTCAAGGTCTTTTCTTCTCTTATCATGGTAACTTTTCTGCCTACTCTACAAGGCTCTCATCTTCTCGTGGATCATATTCACTTTCTCTATAGTTTCTCGTAAGATTTCCGGTCCAAGTGTTGCGTTTCGCCAGATTCATACCAACATAATGGTGTCCTGCACCTCCGACCATATAACACCTCGAAAGGTGCCATACAAATACTATAATGGAAACTATTATTGTAGGTGAACTCAATCAATGGAAGGTAACTATCCCATGTACCTCCTTGCTCAAGAACACAAGCTCTCAAAAAATCTTCTAGCTACTGAATAGTCCTCTCTATCTGATCATCTGTTTGTGGATGATATGCAGAACTCAAATTCAGCCTTGAACCCAACGCCTCCTACAAACTCTTCCAAAAATCAAAAGTAAATCTCGGATCCCTGTCCGACACCATACTGGACAGAACACCGTGCAACTTCACAGTTACTCAAATATAAATCTCTGCCAACTTGGGTACAGGAAAATTAATATCGATCGGAATGAAGTGAGCTAATTTCGTTAATCTATCAACAATCACCCAAATCGCATTGTGCCCTCTTAGAGTACTTGGAACCCCCATCACAAAGTCCATAGATATACTATCCTATTTCCACTACGGAATGTCTAAAGGTTCCAACAGCCCTGCAGGTTTCTGATGTTCAACTTTCGACTTCTGACAAGTCAAACATGCATACATGAACTTTGCCACATCTTGTTTCAACCCGGACCACCAAAATAACTTCTTTAAGTCATGATACATCTTGGTAGCTCC